TCTTCAGGGTTAAGCGGCCGCTGGGCTCTCCACCTGTCTTCAAGGCGCGGTACGTCGCTCGTGGCTTCAGTCAGCGGCAGGGAGTTGACTACTTTCAGACCTTCTCTCCCACCCCAAAGATGACCACTCTTCGGGTGCTGCTGCACATAGCCGCTCAGCGCGACTACGAGCTTCACTCTCTCGACTTCAGCACTGCGTTCTTGCAGGGTAGCCTGCACGAGGAGATCTGGCTGCGCCGTCCATCTGGCTTCACTGGGACTTTCCCTCCTGGCACCCAGTGGAGCCTCCGACGGCCAGTCTACGGTCTCCGCCAGGCACCGCGTGAGTGGCACGACACACTGAGGACTACGCTTGCGGCTCTTGGGTTTGCTCCTTCTACTGCTGACCCGTCGCTGTGTCTGCGCACCGACACTTCACTGCCGCCGCTCTACATCCTCGTGTACGTCGACGACTTGGTCTTTGCCACAGCGGACACTGCTGGACTAGCCTACGTGAAGTCCGAGCTGCTGAAGAGACACACGTGCATAGACCTGGGTGAACTGCGCAGCTACCTTGGCTTGCAGATCACTCGGGACAGAGCACGCCGCACCATTATCCTGACTCAGTCACACATGGTGCAGCAGGTCCTTCAGCGCTTCGGCTTCACGTACTCCTCGCCTCAGGCCACTCCTCTGTCTACCCGCCACTCACTCTCAGCTCTGCCTTCGGATGAGTCCGTAGAGTCGAGTGGCCCGTACCCAGAGCTTGTTGGCTGCCTCATGTACCTGATGACCTGCACTCGACCTGACCTTGCATACCCTCTGAGCATTCTTGCACGCTATGTTGCTCCTGGGAGACACCGACCAGAGCACATGGCTGCAGCGAAGAGGGTATTGCGCTACCTGTGCAGTACGTCGGGCATGGGGCTAGTGCTTGGAGGGCGGAGTCCAGTGGTCCTTACAGGTCACGCGGACGCTTCTTGGGCTGACGACCAGTCTACGCAGCGGTCGTCACAGGGTTACACCTTCAGCCTTGGTTCCGGCTCTGTCTCGTGGCGGGCTACTCGTTCGTCTTCGGTTCTCAGCTCCAGCTGTGAGGCTGAGATCTACGCAGGGGCCATGGCTACACAGGAGCTTCGCTGGCTCACCTACCTGCTGACTGACCTTGGAGAGCCGCCTCGTTCTCCTCCAGTGCTGTACGTAGACAACAAGGCCATGCTGGCCTTGTGTCGAGAGCAGCGTCTGGAGCACAGAACGAAGCACATTGCTCTTCGCTACTTCCTTGCTCGTGAGCTACAGCAGCGTGGACAGTTGCGGCTTGCGTACGTGGCCTCTGAGGCCAACACTGCTGATGTGTTCACCAAGGCACTCGCGCCTTGTGACCATCAGCGCTTCTGCACCCAGCTGGGTCTTGTGCCTGTCTTGCCTCACTTGCTCTCCTCTTGACTTTACTTGTACTGTGACATATATATATCTGCTCTTGCTTGTCTAGCTTTATATATATGTCTATACTCTTGCATGTGAACTGGCCTTTGGCCTTGCTCTTGTGCTCGGACTGTGTGGTGACTTTGTGATCCACCCTGAGCTTTGCTTTGCTTTGCTTGACTGGTCTTGTGACCCCTTATTCTCCCCCACTTTGCCTATGGGGGTGTGTCAGAACATATATATAGCTTATACTATTGTGTAGGCTGTAGTGGGGTATCCCATAGGGGGTACAACCAGTTAGGGTTTCCTATTTGTACTCACTTCATTCATAGTTCATTCATTCTCGTTCTATTCTCAACAGCTGGTTGGTTGATTGCCAACCTTATATGCCATGTTAGCATATTGCATGTTCTGCGGTGCATTGCATGGTCTCAGCTTTGCCTCGACCTAGTACGAAATGGTGACGGGCAGCCCCTAAAAAAAAAGAATGGTGTCCTGTGACAGGTTAATGACAGGCTGCCGCGTATAGCTATCCCATCCGCATGGTTCCCTCCGCAACCTGGAAATAGAGCTGTCTCTGCGACCTGTCACACGTGTCAGAAACCGAATGACACCCTATATCCGAGAGTACCGCTATAGGGGTACTCGTGTAGCACGTATAGTACTAGTTTTTGTAACCCATAAAACAAACACAAGCATGAACTTTGCATGATTAGCACACCCAATTCTATAACGGGTAATCCTATAAGTGTGAGATGAGTGCCCTATCATTAGCACCCGTATAACAGTGGCATTTGAATACAAAACAAATGTTGTACATTTCACCAAAGTGATTTGCTCCCGCCTGCAGAGGAGAGAGTGAAAAACATACTACACGTCTACGAAATGAGGTGAATTTTAGGTGGGGGTCTGGAATATGTGTGGTGAGAGTCCCCTATAAAAATTAGCTCATTTGCTCAAGCAGAAGTGGGTCATTTCAAATGAAACCTGATTCCAGGCAATTCTGCCCATAATGCTGCAGACTGGTGCACAACAAGGCTTAAAAAACATATCAAACCTTGGGTAAATGAGATGAATTTCAGGTGGGGGTCTTGAATATGTGTGGTGAGAGTCCCCTATAAAACGCAGCTCATTTGCTCAAGGCGAAGTGGGTGATTTCAAATGAAACCTGATTCCAGGCAATTCCGCACAGAATTCTGCAGACTGGTGCACAAAAAGGCTTAAAAAACATATCAAACCTTGAGTAAATGAGATGAATTTCAAGTGGGGGTCTGGAATATGTGTGGTGAGAGTCCCCTATGAAAATCAGCTCATTTTCTCAAGGAGAAGTGGGTGAGTTCAAATGAAACCTGATTCCAGGCAATTCTGCACAGAATTCTGCAGACTGCTGCACAGCAAGGCTTAAAACACATATCAAACCTTGGGAAAATGACGTGAATTTCATGTGGAGGTCTGGAGTATGTGTGTTACGAGTCCCCTATAAAAATCAGCTCATTTGCTCAAGGAGAAGTGAGTGTTTTCAATTGAAACCTGATTCTAGGCAATTCTGCACAGAATTCTGCAGACTGCTGCACAACAAGGCTTTCAAAACATATCAAACCTTGGGTAAATGAGATGAATTTCAAGTGTAGGTCTGTAATATCTGTGTTACGAGTCCCCTATAAAAATCAGCTCATTTTCTCAAGGAGAAGTGGGTGATTTCAATTGAAACCTGATTCCAGGCAATTCTGCACAGAATTCTGCAGACTGCTGCACAACAAGGCTTAAACAACCTATCAAACCTTGGGTAAATGAGGTGAATTTCAAGTGGGGGTCTGGAATATGTGTGGTGAGAGTCCCCTATAAAATTCAGCTCATTTGCTCAAGGAGAAGTGGGTGATTACAATTGAAACCTGATTCCAGGCAATTCTGCACAGAATTCTGCAGACTGCTTCACAACAAGGCTTTAAAAACCTATCAAACCTTGGGTAAATGAAATGAATTTCAGGTGGGGGTCTGGAATATGTGTGGTGAGAGTCCCCTATAAAAATCAGCTCATTGTCTCAAGGAGAAGTGGGTGATTTTAAATGAAACCTGATTCCAGGCAATTCTGCATAGAATTCTGCAGACTGCTGCACAACAAGGCTTAAAACACATATCAAACCTTGGGTAAATGAGATGAATTTCATGTGGGGGTCTGGAATATGTGTGGTGAGAGTCCCCTATAAAAATCAGCTCATTTTCTCAAGGCGAAGTGGGTGATTTCAATTGAAACCTGATTCCAGGCAATTCTGCATAGAATTCTGCAGACTGCTGCACAACAAGGCTTAAAACACATATCAAACCTTGGGTAAATGAGGTGAATTTCATGTGGGGGTCTGGAATATGTGTGGTGAGAGTCCCCTATAAAAATCAGCTCATTTGCTCAAGGAGAAGTGGGTGATTTCAATTGAAACCTAAATCCAGGCATTTCTGTACAGATTTCTGCACCCGCCTACAGAATATAACATGAAAGGCATGGCAAACCTTGATGAAATGAAGTGAAAACTGGATAGGGATCAGGACTAGGTGTTATGACAGTGCCCTATCAAAATGGGCTCATTTGCCCAAGGAGAAGTGGGTGATTTCACCAGACACATCACAGCAGGCAACTCAACACTAACTTCCTTGCAAGAAAAAGTCCACCAAATCAGTTTGCATATAGCTGAAAATGTTCAGGGGGGCTGGAACAGGTGTCATAACACTAAAAATGCTAAAAAAAAATGGTCACCACATAACACATGTGTGTGATGCCTAGAGAATGACTTTACATGTGCTATGAGCAATCTTAGTTGACCCAAAAGTGACAAAATGGAACAAATTTGACAAAATAACAAACTCATGCCCGCTGGTAGAGGACATCAAGGAGATGCTGGAAATCCATGTTTGTGTGCAAATGACCAACAAATTATGGAGTTATGAGCCAAACCATATAGAATGTTGACTTAGCCATTTTGACATTCTGCTTGTCAGAATTACACCAAAGTGTCAACAACAAAGTTTATCTACAAATACTGTACAACAGTGGTTGCGACGTCGCTTTCGTGCGACCGTCGATAATCCAAACCAGTAGTGTAACCACTCTTGCGCCCATTTCGTTGCGCCATCAGGTGGTTTGGATTTTGTAAGATCCAACACCCTTTTGCGCCGAATCTGAGTCAAATCCGAGTAAAATCGTCTCGCCACGGGCAAAATGGAGTTTCGCCAAAAAAAATGAATCCCGGTCGAAGCAGAGGATCCGAGTGCTGCTTCCGCCTTTGGCCCGCCCTTCCCCCGTCAGGTGGTTTGGATTTCTAGGCCATCTTCTTTCCAACCCGCCGCAACACACCCCGAGCCTTGCTAGCAGACCTGAGGGCGAGGCATCCCTCTCTGGCGCTGTACTGTGTTGCAAGGCACACGTGGTACTGGGAGAGGAAAGGGACGAGGGTAGAGGGTGGGCCGGTGTCGCATGTGAGGGGGGCGAGAGGAGGGAAGAGCAGTGCGTCGTTTAGGAATGGGAGGAAGAGCGTGCGGGACAAGATGCACAGTGTGAATCGCGGGCTGATGGAGGGGTACACACTGGATGATGAGGAGTGATTCATGGTGGAAAGACGGAACTGGAAGCATGTGGTTGGTGAAGAGGAGAGGGTGAGTGATCGAAATGGTAGTGATGGTGATGAGTTTGATGACGAGTACAATGAGGATTAGGATGAGTAGGTAGGGACGGGGATTTGAAGGAGGTGAGGTGAGAGTGCATTCTGGCACATGGTTTCATCTTTTTTGGCAGGCCAAGTGGATTATACGTAAGGCATGCTTAATGTTGACTCTACAAAGTATACCCATTACCATACATGCAGAATGCATATCCCTACAACAGGTTGGCAGATTTCAATTAATTAGCTTGTATGGAAGGTCGATATTGTAAGATTCAGAGGCCTAGGAAAGCCTTGTTTTAGGATCGGAACTAGTAGTTAATTTAAAAAAAAACAAGATTCGACGTTAACGTCGGAAGGGTTGCGTAGCCGTTTTTTTTTTGTATAAATACATGAGAAAATGCTTTATATTATACTTATGGCACTTAGAGAAAGCGACGAAACATGTTATCCCTCTTGGTAGTGGGCTTGTTAGTTCCTTTTCGTTATTGCTCAAAGTTTTTTTTATTACAATTGATGGCTGTTTATGGGAAAAGACTCTAATAATATATACATTTTCATACGAAACATTGTTTTCTACGAAATCTTATGTGTCAACTTGTTGCATGTTCATGCTCTTGCAGTCATATGACACTAGGTTCCAAATATTGTGTCTTCGTGTTTTCTCTATATATATATTTATCATATGCCCAACTGGTTAGCAATTCACCCCACTGTTTCTGTTTGTTTTTTCCACACCAAACATTTGTCATATTAGACTTTCTTGATATTTTGGAGAGTATAACCGAATTCTGGTGTATTTTGATTGTCGTGCCTGGTTGATCGTGTTTGTTTCTTGCCAGCGCTACACAAACCCAATCCCTCCCTTTCCCCACTGTCAACTCTGCTCCCTTCTTGGGAGTCCCGTTTCTTGAATTCAAGAACTCCCGTTCTCTCCCTCCCCAAATACCTTCCCAACCCCGTCGCCATTTCCACTCTGCCGTCACCTCTCCCTCACTCCCGGCCGTCGCCTCTCCTCACTCCCCGCCGTCACTCCCTTCCTCCTCGTTGTCGCCTCCTTCTCCCTTCCCGCCGTCGCCTTTGGTGGGTGCACGAGCACGAGCGCGAGTTGCTGCACGACCGCGCGTTGTTTTCGTAGGCACCTTTGTCTCAGGTGCGTTTCCTTCTCCCTTCGGAATGTCCTATATTTTCCACCTTCCTTGTAAGTTCTCTGTGCCAATTAGTCTTCTCTTAGCATTGTGCCTCCATTTTAAGAAGGGGAGAGAGGGAGTGTGAGGGAGTGTGAGGGAGTGTGTGCACGGGAGCGAGCACGCAGGAGCGCTGGCGCCTATCGCGCTGGCGCCTAGCGCACTGGCGCCTAGCGTGCTGGCACGTAACGCGCTGGCGCTTAGCGCGCTGGCGCCTAGCGCGCGGGCGCCAAGCGCGCTGGCGCCTAGCGCGCTGGCGCCAAACGCGCTGGCGCTTAGCGCGCTGGCGCCAAACGCGCTGGCGCCAAGCGCGCTAACGTTCAGCGCGTTGGCGCCTAGCGCACTGGCGCCTAGCGCGCTGGCGCCTAGCGCGCTGGCGCCTAATGCGCAGGCGCCTAGAGCACTAGCGCCTAACGCGCTGGCGCCTAACGCGCAGGCGCCTAGAGCGCTGGCGCCTAACGCGCTGGCGCCTAGCGCGCTGGCGCCAAACGCGCAGGCGCCTAACCCGCAAGCGCCTAGAACGCTGGCGCCTATCGCGCTGGCGCCAATCCCGCTGGCGCCAATCCCGCTGGCGCCAATCCCGCTGGCTGGCGCCTATTGCGCTGGCTAGCGCCTATCGCGTTGGCACCTAACACGCCGGCGCCTTACGCGCGGGCGCCTATCGCGCTGGTTGTCGCCTATCGCGTTGGCTGTCGCCTATCGCGTTGGCTGGCGCCTATCGCGCTGGCTGGCGCCTATCGCGCTGGCTGGCGCCCATCGCTCTGGCTGGCGCCTATCGCGCTGGCTGGCGCCTATCGCGCTGGCGCCTATCGATCTGGCGCCTATCGCGCTGCCTGGCGCCTATCGCGCTGCCTGGCGCCTATCGCGCTTGCTGGCGCCTATTGCTATGGCTGGCGCCTATCGCGCTGGGTGGCGCCTATTGCGCTGGCGCCTATCGATCTGGCGCCTATCGCGCTGGCTGGCGCTTATCGCGCTGGCTCGCGCCTATCGCGCTGGCTGGCGCCTATCGCGCTGGCTGGCGCCTATTGCTATGGCTGGCGCCTATTGCTATGGCTGGCGCCTATCGCGCTGGGTGGCGCCTATTGCGCTGGCGCCTATCGATCTGGCGCCTATCGCGCTGGCTGGCGCCTATCGCGCTGGCTGGCGCCTATCGCGCTGGCTGGCGCATATTGCTATGGCTGGCGCCTATTGCTATGGCTGGCGCCTATCGCGCTGGGTGGCGCCTATTGCGCTGGCGCCTATCGATCTGGTGCCTATCGCGCTGGCTGGCGCCTATCGCGCTGGCTAGCGCCTATCGCGCTGGCCGGCGCCTATCGCTCTGGCTGGCGCCTATCGCGCTGGCTGGCGCCTATCGCGCTGGCTGGCGCCTGGCTGGCGCCCATTGCGCTGGCGCCTATCGATCTGGTGCCTATCGCGCTGGCGCCTATCGCGCTGGCTGGCGCCTATCGCTCTGGCTGGCGCCTATCGCGCTGGCTGGCGCCTATCCCACTGGCTGGCGCCTATCACGCTGGCGCCTATCGCGCTGCTAGCGGCTATCGCGCTGGCTGGCGCTTATCGCGCTGGCTGGCGCCTATCGCGCTGGCTGGCGCTTATCGCGCTGGCTGGCGCCTATCGCGCTGGCCGGCGCCTATCGCTCTGGCTGGCGCCTATCGCGCTGGCTGGCGCCTATTGCGCTGGCGCCTATCAATCTGGTGCCTATCACGCTGGCGCCTATCGCGCTGCTAGCGGCTATCGCGCTGGCTGGCGCCTATCGCGCTGGCTGGCGCCTATTGCTGGCGCCTATCGATCTGGTGCCTATCGCACTGGCGCCTATCCCGCTGGCTAGCACCTATCGCGCTGGCTGGCGCCTATCGCGCTGGCGCCTTCCCCGCTGGCCGGCGCCTATCGCACTGGTGCCTAACGCGCTGGCGCCTATCTCGTTGGCTGGCGCCTATCGCCGCCTGGCGCCTACCGCGCTGGCGCTGCCTACCGCGCGCTGACGCCTACCGCGCTGGCGCCTGTCGCGCTGGCGCCTGTCTCGCTGGCGCCTGTTGCGCTAGCGCCAACCGCGATGGCACCTATCGTGCAGCATGTAACATGCTGGCCTCAAGCGTGCTAGTGCCTGTCGCGTTGGCGCCTGCCACGCGATCGCCTAACGCGTTAGCGCCTATCGCGCTATCGCTTAACGCCTTGGCGCCTGCCGCGCTGACGTCTGTCGCGCTGGCGCCCATCGCGCGGGCGCCTTTGGCGCTGGCGCCCAAGGCGCTGGTGCATAACACGTTGGCGCCTATCGCGCTGGCGCCTAGTGTTCCTGTAACTTTGGCAACGGCAACTCTTCCTTAGTCCTCTTGGACACGCCTTAGTGAGTTGTGCTAAGCGCGTTAGCCCTAGGGTGCTCACGCCTTAGGTGTTGGTGCTTTGGGCGCATTGGCGCTTATGGGTGTTGACCCGGCGACGCATGCACCTAGAGCGCTGGCAGTAGCAGCACCATTGGCGTTGATGCCGTGGACAACTTTGTTGTGCTTTTGGAGTTGGCGCGTTTGCGCCTAGAACGCTAGGTGTGTTTTTTGTGCAAATACCTCCCCATTACCATTTTTGCTCCCTTTACGTTCTTCTGTAGGTGATACATCCCGTGCATGTTGAGGTGGTGTGCATGATGCCTTGAAACCATATGTGTGAGTCATCAACTTGGATTTGCCTCCCGAATTCATCCTTCAGCAATCTATTGCATCATTTTGAATAGCACTTTCCATCATGCGTTTTTTATGCAGCGCGCTGGCGCCTTACTGCAGTGCGCTGGCGCCTTGTTGTGGTGCGCTGGCGCCTTACACAATTCACTTCACCCACTCACAGCCGTATCTTTCTTGCGTGACCTGTGTTTTGCAGGATGTGCAAGCCGTTTTGTGGGAAGTAGAATGTGGAAGGCGAGGGAAAGATTTGGCAAAACGTGAGGACAAAGAGGGAAGGGGAAAAGGGATGGAAGGGGGAGCAGGCCAGCAGTGATTGTTACGTTAACAGCTTTTTACGACTCTTTGTTATGCTTGTTTGCTCTCTCTCCTCATTGTATGTATGTGTGTGTATATATATGTGCGCCAGTGCATGTGTGTGTATCGTGTGTGTGTGGGTGGGTGTGCTGTGTGTGTGTTAGTTGGTTGTGATTATTTCAGGGTGTGGTGTTGGTATGCATCGTGTTTGCAGCTGAGGTTGTCATCGTCGTTGGCGCAGTGCGTTTTCACTGTCTCAACGACCCCATCAATCTCAGTTGTAGCATTGGTGCATATTAACATCCATTTTGATGTCGTCACAACTTTTTTTTTTCGTGGCGTTTGCATTTCGTGTTTGTGTGCTATGCATGTTCCAAGGCGGGGTGTTCCAATGCATCGTGTATGCAACTAGAGGTTGTCATCGTCGTTGGTGCAGCGTGTATTCGCTGTTTCAACGGCCCCATCAATCGCTATTGCTACGTTGATACATTGTAACATTTCTTGAAGCATTCGCATCACACTTCATACCGTGTTCATTTGTACGAATGCATTCGCTCATGTTGATGCCATGTTAGATCGTACCATCCGCCGTATTAATCGACGAGCTGGGACGGCCGGAAAAAAAAAACATGATTTCAACATGATATGTAATTGGTTTCACTTTTGGGAGACCTCATTCATGATTGATTTTTATTCACGATTTGAAGCATTCTCAAGCGGGTGCTCCAAAGAGTGTTGTAATAAAAATCTATGTTGAAATGATATCCCCAAAAGATGAAATCGATTATGTAGGGTTGCTACGCAACCCAAAAACATATGCTTGTGGTTTATTCACAAGGAAATTTAATTTCGAAGTAGCATGATTTATTTCACCGCTTTAGACCATTGCACATCCGACCGCAACCTGCAAAAGTCAGCTGTATTTGAAAATGAGAAACCCGATTCAGTAGGGATGTTGCAGGGGGTCACACGCCAGAGTGTGTTGACCAGGCTGTCCAGAATGCACACCACGACCATCACTCAATCACTTCCATTCCACTGAACAAAAAGCTGTGCTTGCACGAAGTTACCAGTGCTCTCAACTCGTCAAGACGCGTTAGTTTGAGTGCATGTTATTAGTGCTCGTCGCATTAAACTTCCTCTTGACCCCCTTTCTCTTGAGATATTCCTCGTAGCAATACCCTTTGCCCAAGGGCTTCGTGTGTGACAGTCTTCGACTTTAAATAGATATTGAGTAGTTATTGACCACAGGTGTTCGGCTTCGAGACATGTCGCGCCTCCATCGACAGGCAATATCTTACAGGAGGGCCAGTTAGTATGCGTCAACATGCAAGCGTCCTGCTACTTATCATTTTCCTCGACGTGAGTTGATGATTCGTGGCCATCCTTTGAAGATAATGACCTTTTTCATTCTCTTAATCCTTTAAGGTTCCAGGTCATATCTTTGCGTGGAGAAATGGCTGGAACACAATGGTCAGAGTCAATTCGTGATCTGGTGCAGTGTGCAGACGGATTCGGGGGCAAAGTCACAGGCGGGCATGCTGGACCCTTTTTTTGGGTCACAACTCTTTCGGATTCTGGGCCGGGTAGTTTGAGGCAAGTATTGAACAACCAATAGCTTTGTTGTGCCATATATTTCGCATCTTATTCTTTGTCACTTGCCATGATATAGGGAGGGGGCAACAGTTCATGGCTCTCGCTGGATACTGTTCAACATTTCTGGTACAATCTGCCTCTCTAGTCCAATCGGTGTTGCCTCAAATAAGACAATCGACGGCCGTGGTCAACGAGTCGTCATTTCGTGCAATGGCCTTCATATCAGGTCCCAAACATTTTTTTAGCTTCAAGTTCCGATTCAAATTGGAAAACTCTCGTCGTTCTGTAACACTGTCCTGGTTGTTTCTGAGTAGACATGCTTCTCAGAACATCATCATCAATAACCTTATTTTCTGGAGAGGTGGAGAGGATGCCATTCAGCTGAAGTACGGGGCACAGCGAGTTTGGATCAACCATGTGAGCATTGGAAGATGGGGGGATGGTGCGATCGATGTGACACGTGGCTCCACAGACGTCACAATATCACGAAGCCTTTTTCACCACCACAACAAAGTTATGCTTGTGGGCTCACAGGTAAATGCTTGCTATATTGCTGCTTGCAAGCATGACTCTTCGTGACTTTGGTGTTGCATGCTTGGCAGACAGATGCTGAAGAATCCAAAGACCACCCTGTGAATCTTCATGTCAGCATTCATACTAATTGGTTCGCTGGGACCATTCAGCGCCATCCTCGAGTTGTTGCAGGATTGGTTCACGTTTATAATAATGTCTTCCAGCATTGGGGACTGTATGGAGTTGGTAGTACCTGCCATGCTCAGGTGGCTGCTTCTGTCCTCTTTTGCATACATACAGTGCTCGTCTTTCTTTTGGCTAACATGTCTTTTGTGCAGATAGCCATGGAGAGAAACATTTTCCTCGCAGGCAGGTCGTTTTCGGGTGCTCGAATTTTTGATCGTCTGGATTGGCCCAGTAATTATGGAAGAACCCGGTCTGTCCGAGATTTACTTATTGATGCAGCACATCTTCACGAGTACGACCCAGATCACGTGTTCAACCCCCGAGTATGTGCTGGTATGCGCTGTCTGTGCATCCTTTGGTTACCACACCATGTCTTATGCCTGTTTCTTTGATCAGGACTTCTACAATTATACTGCAGCTGAAGCTACTCCGGATTCGATGGTTGATGTAGCCGGTAATGCTGGTTGGCATGATGTTAATCTTCCATCTGAGACCGGCAAAAGATGTTAACGTTGATGGGAAACATGCTGGATGTGCAGCAGCTTACCTTGTCACCAAGGCAAAATATGTACGGACAGGATTAGGTGGAAGGGCACACACCAGTTGGGGTCAGCATTAATATGCTGTTGCACTATGTGAAAGAGCATTTTAGTAAAATCCCCTGCAGCAAAGCATATCACTGTGGAACATCAAATGTGGAGCCTACATACACAAAAACTCACATGTCCTAGTCACAAACCATAGATGCTATATATATCATTGGCTGCACAGCTCCTAAGGAACTACAAATAAGCAACATGCTTGCCAAACATGTCAAGAGTGTCAGGGAGGAATACATAGATAAGCAAGAAAGCCACCATTTGCACTGTGTGGCAGAATCTTCTGACAAACAAGGCACAGTTAGTGCCATGTGAGAAGATGCAGGTAGAGTAGCATGCTGCTGACACTGACGGCGTATCATGCTTGGGCTCAAAGCAGCTGGTGATCAGCGCATCCGAACATGCTGGTTCGGAAGAATGAGGTCGGGATTTCGAATGTGCGGGTTCAGCTTCACCACATCCTTCCACTTAGTGCCGCTGCCATGCACCTTCTGTGACAAGCTCCACAGAGTGTCACCTGACTGTACAGTCACCTTGGCAGGCTTGACAGGCCCCGTAGATCTCTTAGGCTTAGCTGCTCCCTTCTTCCCCATGCCATTGGCCGCTAACCACCTCGACCCTGCCTGCCCCTGCTTCTGATTCCCCCATCCCCTCTTCGCCGCCTCTTCGGTTTTCAGTCCCATCATGTGCACGCCTGTCAGCTTAAACCGTGCCTTCTCCACGCCGCCTTTCCCCCCGGACTGCTCGTCATCATCCACCTCCTCCACGATCGGATCCCCATCCCTCCGCCGATTGCTCACTCCGTTCCGCACTGTCAGCGGCCCTCCCGAGGGCCGCACAGCTGCACCTGTGTGCAGATTATACGCGATCCTCCTCACTCCTTCGCCTCCTGGCAACGCCTTAGCACCTCCCTCCAGCGCTGCTACACCATTTCCATTGCTCTTCTCATCATCCTCAGCAGCAGCGGGGGGGGCTCGTTCCGCCTGCAGCAGAGCCATCATCGGCGCACCCACAGGCTCGAAGTTCCTGAGAGGGTCCCTCAGCTGCACCAGCATCGCCACTGTCACCTTATCCCCCATCAACCCCCCATCTCCCCCTCCTCCTCCTCCTCCCATTCCACCCACCATCCCCCCCATCCCTCCCATACCCATCATCCCCATCCCTCCCGCACCTCCCCACGCTGCAAGCCCCCGTCCCGCTCCCATCCCACCACCCATCCCACCTCCCCTCACAGCCGCCAAATCCGTTCTCAACCGCGCAATATCATGCAGAACCATCTCGCCAGCGCCATGCGCAGCACAGTGCGCCTGCAGTACCGCTAGAGTGTCATCCTCTGTTTCAAAGTCCTCGAAAATCCCAGCGTCCAGCCGTTGCCACTCGTCTAATGATACCGCCAGTCCCATCGACCCCCCCCCTGCCGCCACCATCGCCCATTCATCCCCCCCTGCACCCATCTCCGCCCCTCCATACCCCCCATTTGTCAGCATCCCCGCTCCCCCCCCGCCATACATCAACTCCCCCATCCCTCCCCTCCCCGCCCCCCCTCCCATCCCCAACGCGCCATACCCACCCATCCCCAACGCACCCCCGCCCCCACCCTCCTTCCCCAGATCAATCGCATACGGCGCCAGCAAATCAGAAGCGTCGTTCTGCACTCTAAGCCCCTCCAACGCCATCCGTTCGATCTGCTCCATCGCCAGCGCGCCCAGCTCATCCAACGGCACATATTCCTCCTCGCCATCCTCCCACCCCTCGTCCTCCATCAGCATAAGCTCCCTCTTCAAGTCCTCCTCCATATCCTCCTCCTCTGTAAACAGATCCCCTGCAAGCAACCTTCGGTCCCCGTTCGCCCCGTTCGCTTTGTTCCCTCCCTTCCCTCCCTTCCCACCGCCAACACCAGCTAACTCCCCAGCCGTCCGCCTTAGCAGAGCCAGCCGCCCCTCCTTAGCTCCGCCTCCCCCAGTTGCGCCCTCCCATGCTTCCCCCTCCCCTCCCCCTCCGCCCTGCTCCAGCAGAAGCTGCTTTTGCATAATCCTCTGCTTTGCCACGGCTATCATCCTGCCTCGGCGCCGCAGCCGAACCAGAGTGCCAGCCAGGGCGGACTGCCGAGCCACCGCCGCCATAGCTTCGGGCGTCAAGCCGCCGCCCATACCTAATGCCAAGGCTCCTGCCGAGCCTCCTCCCACTGTTGCCAGCTGTCCCGCGCCTACATGCACAAGCTGCCCGCCTTGCATCCCTGCTGCTGCTCCTGCTCCTCCCTCTAGAGCCAAGTAATTCCCCCCTGCACGCCCCTCCAGGGCCAGATAGCCTTCTCCTCCCCCTAATGCTGCTGCTGCTGCTGCGCCAAGGGCCCTCCTGAAACAGGGAAAAGAGGGGACAGAGAAAGCAGGGGAAAGGAAGAGAAGCTTCACGTGGTGGTTCAAGGAGAGGGGTGATACAGGGGGGCATTCGCTAGCACTCATTCCTTGTGAGCACAACAACACATGTGTGTTCACTAAAACCGACCATATCTGAGCCAGTTGTGAGAATTCTCACAAGTAGTTCAGGGGAGGGGTGGTAGTGGGGGGCAATCGATTCCACTCATTCCATGCGAGCACAACAACACATGTGTGTATTGAGACTGACCCCTGTGCATGAGACAGTCATGTGCCTAGGATTCACTCACTCACTCAACTCTCACTCAATCACTCACAACCAGCCTCCATCTCACCTCTGAGGTGCGCCGAGTCTCCACAGACGCTCCTCATACCCCCCCTCCCCCTGCGCCGTAAGGGAAAGAAGCCCCTCGGCTCACCATGGACGACTTGTGAGGCGCCTCAAAAGAAGCCCCTCGGCTCACCATGGCCCCTCCACTCCATTCCCTCCTCGCAGCAACACACATGCCTTGCCTGCCTCTGTTCCCTCCATCTCACCTCTGAGGCGCGCCGAGTCTCCTCAACTGCTCTTCATACCCCCTACCGCCCGCACCATCCAGGAACAACAATCCCTCGGCCGCCATCTGTTCTAACGCCTTGCCACTGACGTCCGGCAAGTGCATGAGCATGTGCGCCTGCTGTCACTCACTCCCACTCTCCCCTCCACCGTAACAAACCCTCTTCCTAGGGTGCATGAGAACTCACCTCTGAGGCGCGCCGAGCCGTCTCAAGTGCTCCTCATAGCCCCCTCCCCCTGCCCCATCCAGGAACAGCAGCCCCTCTGCCGCCATCTGCTCAAGCGCCTTGCCACTGACGTCCGGCAAGGGCATGAGCATGTGCGCCTGCTGCGACAGCGCGTCTATCCCGAGAGCCGCCATGCTCTGTATGATGTCACCGCCCTCTATTCCCATCTCCTTGGGTACCACGACGGCACGGGAGAACTGCAGGAGCGGATGGGAGGAATGAGAGGGGTGGGGTTTGTGGGAAGACACGTCATGAGGTATGCGCATGGAGGGACAGCGTGTCTATTTCGAGCGCCGCCATGCTCTGTATGATGTCACCGCCCTCTATTACCATCTCCTTGGGTACCACAACGGCACGGGAAAACTGGGGGAGGGGAAGGGAGTGGGGGTGAGGGGAAGTGAGGGAGAGGGGATGAGAGGGCATGAGCATGTGCGCCTGCTGCGACAAGGCGTCGATTCCCAGCGCCGCCATGCTCTGAATGATGTCACTGGGTGTCACTGGGTGTCACTGGGTGTCACTGGGTGTAACTGGGTGTCACTGGGCGTCACTGGGTGTCACTGGGTGTCACTGGGTGTCACTGGGCGTCACTGGGCGTCACTGGGTGTCACTGGGTGTCACTGGGTGTCACTGGGCGTCACTGGGCGTCACTGGGCGTCACTGGGCGTCACTGGGTGTCACTGGGCGTCACTGGGCGTCACTGGGCGTCACTGGGCGTCACTGGGTGTCACTGGGCATGCCCTCCATGCCCATCTCCTTGGGTCCCCCTTCCCCCTTCCCCCTTTCACCTCCCCCCCACCGCTCTTACCTGCATGACCAGCCGGCTGGCCCCTTCTGACAAGTGCCGCCCCTGACGTCAGGAACCCTTCACCAGGCAGCGCGATGGCGGACCCACCCCCGCACCCCTCAACCCTTCCCACCCCTTCCCACCCCTTCCCACCCCTTCCCACCTTCATCTCTTCCCAGCACCGCCCTTACCTGCATGACCAGCCGGCTGGCCCCTTCAGAGAAATGTCTGCCCGACATGGACGTTAAGAATCCTCCCCCAGGCAGCGCAATCGCGGACCCCATGCCCTGCACCAGCTCGGGGGGCGCCATGCTGGGCGGAACGGCCAGCACCATGGGGTCCGCGCCGCGCAGCGCGCCCAGCTGCGCCAGCCCGCCCGCGCCGCCGTACAGCGCCGCGCTGGCGGAAGCCAGCCCCGTGGCGGAGCACGTGGGCGCAAGCACGCTGTTGAGGCTCTTCAGCGGGGGGAGGTCGAAGGAGCCGGGGGAGAAGGCGGAACCGGGGAAGGGGGACGGGGGGAAGGGGGACGCGGGGAAGGAGGGGGAGAATGTGGTGGTGGTGGTGGCGGTAACTCCCCCCACGCTGCTGCGCGTGCTGATGCTGTTGATGCCGCCGCTGCTGCCTGTGTTGACCGTCGTGAAGGGGCCACGCGAGGGCATGTGCATTCCCCCAAACCCCGCGCCTGGCGCCAGCGCGCCCTGCTGAATCGCCGCCAGCGTCATTGCGCTTGGTGCGCCTCCTCCTCTCTCCGCGCCTGCGCCGCCTCTCCCCCCGCCCGCTGTTACCAGCCCGCCAGGCCCCGCCACGGGCACCATCGCCCCCGCGCCTACCGCGTCTCTGTCAGAGGATCCGCGACCTCCCCCCTTCTTCCCCGCGCCTGCTGCTTTGCCCGCCGACACCAGTCCGCCAGGCCCTGCCACGGGCACCATCGCCGTGCAAGCATCTGCTTCCGCCGCCGCTGCTGCATCTGCGGGCGCAGGCAGCGCAGCTCTCGCCCCTCGCCCCGCCCCTCCCCCTGCTCCAACCCTGCTTCCGCGCCCAATACCGCTCATCTTAATCTCAATCGTTCCGCCGATTTTCCCGCTGCTGCCCAGAGGCCCCGCCGCCCCCCGCACGAGCGCCCGCGGGATGCCAGTAGTCACCTCCTCCACCTCTGCTGACGTGGTCAGCTGCCGCGCCGCGCCCCTGCCAGCTGGCACGAGCGCAGTCGACGTTCCGGAAGCCTCCGCGCTCGCGCTTCTCCTCGCTTCCGCCTCTGCCTCCTCCTCCTCCCCCTCCCACCCCTTCCCCCCCCGCCCTTCCTTCCCCGCCGCGCGCTCCTCCTCCATCAACCGCACTCTCTCCTGCACCGTCAGCCGTCCCCCCCTCCCCCTGCCTCCGCCCGCTCCCCCGCCCGCCGCCCCCCGACCCCCTACCCTCGGCACAAGCGCGCCACTGGCGCCCGCGCCCCTCCCCGCGCCCCTCCCGGCGCCGTTCCCCGCGCCGCTGCCAGCGACGGCGAGCGGGCCTGCGGTGGACCAGCGCTTGCGCGCAGGCGCGGCAAGAGCCGAGGAAGTGGTAACGGCGGCCGCAGCAGGGGGCGCGCCCCTGCCCCTCCCCGCCACCACCAGCGCTGCGGACTGCACGCCAGCCGCAGCGGGTTCCGAAGCAGAGGCGGCAGGTGCGGCAGAAGGGGCAGCAGCTAAGGGAACCTCAGCAGCGGCGGCGGCGGCGGCGGGCGCGTTGCCGCGGAAGCGCAGCATGAGCGCGGCCTCCTCCTCCGAGTCGAGCAGGCGCGCCTTGCGGCGGCTCTTCTCCTCGATCTCCGCGCGCTGCTGCTCCTCCTCCGCCTCGCGCAACATGCTCGACAGCATATCGTCGTCCCCCTCCCCCTCCCCCTCCCCCGCATCCTCCCCCTGCCCTGCGTCCCGCCCTACACCATTGCACGCCATCATGCCTTCACCCACCTCCTCCTCCTCCTCCTCCTCCTCCTCGTCCTCGTCCTCCTCCTCTTCCTCCTCCTCATCCTCGTCTGCGTGAGAAGACACCTCTCCACTACCCTCCATCCACTCGCGCTCACTCGCGCCAAAACTGTTGCTGCCCACGCGGCTCGACGCCTGGCGCGCGGGGCTAAGCAGCCCTTCCGCCACGCCCAGCAGCCCCCCCTCCCGTCCATCCTCCCCCTCCTCCCCTTCCCCGTCCTCTCCGCCGCCAAACCCGTCGAGACTCCCCGGCGCGCCGTCAATCGCGCCGGACTGCATGAGCAGCTCGAGGAACTCGTCGGATACCAGATCCATCTCCTCCTCCAAACCCGCCGCATTCGCCGCCGCATCCCCCGCCGCTTTCACAGCCCCGTTCGCCCACTCGCGCCCCAGCGAGTAACCGTAATCGTCGCCGCCAGACAGCCCTTTCGCGGATTCGTCCACCTTCCGCTCCGCCACCTCCGCGCTCCGCTCCTCCTGCAGCGTCCACTCGAACTCAAGCATCGCCTGCGCCATGCGCGACCGCCCCCCCTCGCCCGCGGAACTCGCGGAATCGAGCGACGCGTCGCGGCCACTGGTGGTCGTCGTCGAGGTGGTGGTGGTGGTGGCGACGCTGCTGGTGCCCGTGCCTGGGTCCACCCGCACCGTGCGCTCCTCCCCCGAATCACTCTGCACCGCATAACCCCCCATCACCCTCTTCACCTCCACTCTTCCCCCTTCTTCCTCCTCTTCTTCTTCATCCTCGTCGTCCTCTTCGTCCTCGTCCTCGTCATCGGTTTCCTCCTCCTCATCATCACTCTCTTCTTCGTCTTCCTCTCCCTCTTCCTCCTCCTCGTCGTTTAACCCCTCCCCTTCCGCCAAAACATCCGCCAAGTCCACCGCATCACCCTCCACCTCCGCCTCCTTCTCCGCCGTCCCCCCTCCGGCTCCCCCTCCGCTCGCCCCACCCTTGCCGTCCGTGCGCGCCTGTACCCCCGCCGAGCGCGTATCCTTCACCGCAACCTTCTCCTTCTCCTCCTCCTCTTCCTCCTCCTCCACCACCGTCCGCATCGCGCTTCCGCCCGAGATCATGCGCATCAGCGGGCCCGCGCGGGTCCCGCGCGCGTCCCCCTGGCTCCGCGCGCTCTGCGGCGCCGCGGAGCGATCCGCCGGCGCTTGGTACAGGGAGAACGACAGCTTCTTCTTCTGCTTCGGCGAAGCTTCGTCCTTCTCGCTTCCGCCGCGGGGACTCGCCTGCGGGCTCCCCGGAGGGCTGCTGGTCGGCGACACCGCCGCTGCCGCCGCCGCGATCGCCGTCGCGGCGTACAGGCGGAACGACTTGGTGTCAACTCGCGCGAGAAACGTAACGCCGCGGCCGAGTTGTAACTCGTACCCGAACGTCGCGACCATGACGGCCCCCTCCGCCAATCCCGCGAGCTGAAAGCTCAGCGTCATGGGCTGCCCCTCCTCCTTCTCGTGCAGCGACGCGGGCAGCAGCTTCGCTAGATCCACGGAATGCCGCCCAAGCTCCGCGACGTAGCCAATCCCAGACGTCTTCAACATCTGCACGCAGAGCGTCGACGGTTTCCGTTTGAACTTCACCGTCCCCTGCGCTCCGGCGTTGAAGAACATCGTGCACGACATCGTCAGCGTCTGCTCGAAGCGCGCGACGCCGCGGTGCACCACCATGGGGCTCGTGCCGACCGACATGCCGCGCCGCAGCCACTGCACAACGAGCTCCTTCCCCTCCATGTCTTTCGGAAAATTGTCCACCCCGTGCACGTGCATCGCCACCGTGCACTGCGCCTTCTTGCTCCCCACGCGCCCTAACAGTCGGAACGGCGCGAACGACTCGAGGAAGCTCGGCTTCTCCGGGACTTGCGGGATGACGAGGCTCTGGCTGAACTTGACCTGGTCCGCGAGCCAGGCTCGGAAGTCGACCGAAGCTAGGTTCGGTTCGTCCGTTGGCGGGTAGTGGCTGTACGCATGGTTGTGAGTGAAGACGGCGACATTTTTGTTGAGGGTTTCGGCCGCGTGGACTCCGGCGTGAAGCACGCGGCTCGACTCCTTGGCGCTGATGCTGCGGCCGTGCAGCGCGAGGCCGGTTTTCCGCTGCACGCCCACCCTCGAGTCATCCATCGCGAGAGGCGGCGCGACGGACTGATTTCTAGGATGGAAGGCTGGTTTCCGTCAGTCCGTCAGTCCTTACGCATTCTGCTAGTCATACAATGATATCAACTGATAGTCCACCGGAGAGATCTTCAAGAGACAAACGTTACGCGAGCATGACCTTGCGAGCTACATGAACGCGAAATGCGGAGACACTTTTTCCTAGAGAATGTTGCATGTCCTGTCGAGTTTCGACGAGGCCGATGCGTGGAGAAAGCAACGACAGCCCACCGAAGTGTCTTTCCGAAACCAAGTGGGCAGAGGCGAGAAGCTCTCCTGTTCTCCAGCGTGTAACGACAGGAGACTAGGAAAAGCTGTGGTGTGGAATGGAAGCCATGGCGGGGTGCTCGCTTTGCTTGGCCAACCACTCACCCGTGCGGTTCAGCACTGTTCTGCGTGGTCAGGGTGTTTCAGATCTGACTGTGCAAGATGCCGAGGGTAGTTAGGGGAAAAACAAATCAGGTGCAGAGAAACGGACTCGAACTGGTTCGTTGGCACGTATGGCGCAGGCTCGTTATGTGAGGCGGGAAAACAGACAGGTTCGGTAACAGTTTGATAGCTCTAAGCTGGCTCGGAAAATGGCCTGGTAGGAATTTCCGAGTGTCATTGTTCATCGTGATTCGCTGTTGCCTTTGGTTGGTTGCGGCTTGGAGTGACGAATCGCATCTGCTGATTCTTTTGTCTGCCCGCAAACTGCGCAAGAGGCACTGCTGCCACCAGTCATCTCGTCTCCCCAGAGCTCACTTCCGCGCCAAGGGGAGCCCGAGCCATGATTGACACCCCCAAAGCTGCAGCTCCGGCCTGGTTGGAGACGTGCGGCACGTAGGTTTCGAGCCTAACCTTCGGTTTGTGGGAGCCTTCTGACATGCCGCACCCAACTTTTCTTGGCATAGAAGGTGCTTGGCGAAATTTGATGTGACGGGTGACACCCAGACCAGGGCTGTCGATTGCTCTGGGGCCAGAACTTGGAAGGCTGAGCTGCCCAGAAATTTGCCCTTAGATTTACGTTTTGGGGCCAAACTCAGCACTTGAAATCAGGGCTACAAAGTGTCATGCACTTTTGCTAGACAAGAGATCACCCTCGATTTTCAATGCCCAACCAAATTGTGAGGGAAGGTTCTGGGACCTCTCTACCACTAAGTACTCCCTGGCCTACGCTGCATTCCCCTTCCTTGTTGCGACCAAAGGCAGGATCTTGAGGCTGTTAGCGGACAGAAAACTTAAGGACTGACATTCCTCACAGAAACCTACGGTCTGTACTAAAACCACTTCAGGTTTGACCTGCAGTTCAGGTTCTGATTTCGAAAAAAAACAGTTTAGGTCCTGACCTCGAAAGTTCACAGAGTAATCGAAACTGGCTCTGGGAAGAGTACTGCACCTGGAACTGGGATGATAGGAAATGGAGCGGGTGGGGAGAGGGGAGGGAGGTACGGCGGGAATCAGTTCGAAGGGGAAAGGGCTAGCCCCAAGACTCGTACTTGAAATCCGGGCTAGCCCCGAGCAAAGCACTTTAGGCAGACGTGCTGACCTGAAACCCAACCCTTAAATTCGGGGACCTAGGCCCAACTCAACCCTTAATGTTCAGGGCATTAAGGGCATTTGCCCTTGTAGCGACAGCCCTGACCCAGACGCTTGCGCCAAGCGTCGTCCACTTGACAGGCGGTGCACTTGGCATGCGAACCTTCTTCAGACCTTTTCGCAACGGCCGTTTCGGTTGCTCGCGCAAGGGGAAATGGACCTAAACCAGCCAAGCATATGTTGCGTAGTAACCCGTCTTGGTATGCAGTATCTTTCTGCTTTTGGACGTTCGGCATCAACAAATCCATGAGCGACGACGTGGTTTACGACCTCGCACTCATCGCCACAGTCGTCTTGTTTCAACTTATCATAGTCGCAGATCCGCTTGTAACCATCTCTGTAGCATGTTTCAGAATTCCAATTCGAAATCATGAATCGTGAAAGCTAGACCACGACCAGAACGGGTAAAACAACTAGCCCATCAACGAGATTCTGGGATGGAGGTGGTTCTCGCCTGCTCCTCATGGATTCCTTGCGTCTAATATGACGCCGCATATCCCGCCAAATGGTTAGCCCAAGAGCCACTCGATGGCAAGACCGCCTTCCGCACGCACTTCGCCTGCGCGTCAGCGCCTGCACTGAGTCCCAAGCGCATTCTTCCCGCATCCCCTGCTTGCTGAGGTTCTTCATTTTCTCCGCCGTGTGTACCCTAGCCTACATTGGCGGTGTGATTCCACACTCTAGACCAGCGCCGCCAAAACCTTCGACACGCTACGATCTTCCTGGAGGATTCGGAAGAGTGATTTCTTCGGACGAGGCGATTTCTACCCGCGACGGAATCTCGTTGGATTCATCGTGGGATCTGCGCGATGACGAGGTGCTGCCTGGAGTGTCGCACGCGCGACTGGCGAAATGGCGAGCCTCCGCCGCGCGATCACGGCTGAGCGCCGCAGCTGACGCTGATACCACGGCTAGAGCTACACGGGTTGACGCCGCTCGAGCCGACGACGAAGCTTCCTATTCTGACCGCAAGGGAAAGCGTGAAGGTGGTGACGAGCTGTGCGGCTGGCCGGCTCCCGCTGCTCCTGCGCGCGAGACGGAGGAGGGGTTTCAGGGGGACTCGGTGTGGTACAGCACGAACGGCAGCGAGTGGATGCAGCACGGATATCTGGAGATGCTTCTAGCGGAGATGGCAGGGCGCAGAGGGGTACTAGCGGGGATTGCGGGGGACGAATCGGAGGTGAGAGGGAGGATGAAGGTCGGAAGGTGCAAAGATGGATTGATATATAAAATACGTTGGTTGAGCTTCTGCCTTGGCTCTCGTGTTGGCTCTGTTTCAGTCCCAATTCTTGTTTTCTCTTCCCGCCCGTCAACCTTCATTTCTCTCCCTTCCCTCTTCCCCTCCAGGCTGTATGCGTGGCGGTGTATCTGCCACCTCATTGGTTCCCCTGCTCCGACTCGCCAGCTGGCTGCCAGCTGGCGGTGTGGGTCCGCCCCGCGTCGTCCGACGTGGCGCTGCTGTACCACCTGCTCGACACGCGCGGCTTCCGCTTCCTGCGCCCCTCGCTGCTGCCCCACTTCCGCCCGTCCGCCATCCTTGATGCGGGCGCCAACATCGGGCTCGCCTCCCTTATCTTCGCCCTGCGGTATGCTGGGATTTAGATATGAATGTATGATGTGATTCATTTATTCAACTGTGAATATATGGCACATGCTGCTGACACATGCCCCACCATCGTCAACTCATTTCTTGCTCTCTTTCTTTCAACCACCATCCTTCTCTCTTCCCGTTGCGTGGCGTCTCCCCTCCACTTTTCTCCCCCAAGCAGCTTCCCCCGTGTGCTCATACTAGCAGTGGAGCCGGCGCGGGACAACTTCGCGCTGCTTGCTCATTGCTTTCTCCTTGCCTCCATTATCCCCCTCCTGCCTTGCCCCCTCCCCCAAGCAGCTTCCCCCGTGCGCTGATAGTGGCAGTGGAGCCGGCACGGGACAACTTCGCCCTGCTGCAGCGCAATGTGAAGCACCTGCCCCGGATACTGCCAGTCAATGCCGCCCTCTGGTCGCACGACACCCGGATAGCCGTCACAGCCGGTCGCAGGGAGGGCTTCTGGGCGTACGAGACACACGCGTGTGGGGAGACGCAGCAGGCACATGAGCAGCAGGAGAAACAGCAGCAGCTTGTACAGCAGCAGCAGGATCTGCAGGATCAGCAGGATCAGCAGCAGCAGAAATCCAGCAGCAGAACGGATTCCCTGTCTCACCCATCCTCTGCTGCTGCCACTGGCAGCCACTCACCTGCTCCCGCCTCCCCCTGCATGCCCGCAGTCTCAGTGCCGTCGCTGCTGCAGCGCATGCAGGTGCCACGGTTCGACTACGCGAAGATTGACATTGAAGGCGCTGAGATCGAGGTGTTCTGCTCTGCTGCCCTGGCCAGGGCAGGCGGAGGAGGGGGAGGAGGAGGGGGAGGGGGAGGGGGAGGGGGAGGGGGAGGGAGAGGGAGAGGGAGAGGGCAAAGAGAAGAGGGTGAAGGAGAAGGAGAAGTGGGAGCAGAGTGGCAGCATGATGTGGCAGTGGTGTCAGTGGAGGTGCATGAGGACTTGGCGCCAGGGATAGGCGCGTGCATGGAGGGGGTGTATCCGCGCACGCGGTATGACGTGCGCACATACGGGGAGAACACTGTTTACTTTAGCCCCCACGTGTGGGTGCATGCACTCAAGCCATTGGATCTGAGTGTGCGGTAATCAAGGAGGAAGGGTGTTGCACTGTTACCACTACTATTGAGGGTAGGGGGCGTCTATGCGCACACGGTATGATGGGCGCCTGTATGGGGAGAACACAGTCTACTTCAGCCCACACGTGTGGGTGCATGCGCTGAAACCACTGGATCTGAGCGTGCGGTGAGGGGTAGGAGGGGTGTGTTGGTGCTACCTGAGAGGCTTGGTGGTGTATCCGTGCACACGGTATGATGTGCGCGTGTATGGGAAGAACACAGTCTACTTCAGCCCGCACGTGTGGGTGCATGCGTTGAAATTGCTGGATCTGAGTGTGCGGTGAGGGTAGGAGGAGTGTGCTACTGCCAGGGGGGTTTGGTGTATCCGCGCACACAGTATGACGTGCGCATGTACAGGTAGAGCACAGTGTATTTCAGCCCATGTGTGTGGGTGCATGCACTCAAGCTGCTGGACTTGAGTGTGCTGTGAGCGTAGCAGTGTGTTGCTACTACTGCCACTGAAGTTGGTGTAACAAGAGAGCACGGTGGGTTTGAGCCCCACTGGATTGACACTGTCGATTTGCATGCAGGGTGCAGACAGAGGATACCTTCATATGTTGCACTGCAAACTTGCGAAGTCAACTATACCACTGCAGCTTGGGGTACTGTGATGTACCACTCCAATTAAAGCCAGCAGCTAAAATAGTGACCCCCCCCTTTTAGTTGGGTCCACATGAAAACTGAAGTTTTTTTGGAACATTTCGGAATCAACGAAGTGCTGTGCATTTTATTTTTCCACTCCAGTCGAGTCTTGCTGTGAACGGGGAACATTTGGAACAAGTGCACAATTCTGATAGGCAACGAAACTCAAACACAATGCACACATACCGTACTTCTGTGCGAATTTGGCGCAAGGTTGCAATGCCTGTATTCACTCGAGCAGTCATCGAACTACCGGTAAGGGCGTGTAAAATCCCCGCACATTTGCGATGTGAAAGTAATGAACAGGAATGAGTTGACTAAGGAAAGATTGGGGTACAAATACAACCCTAGAAACCTGTACCCCATATGTGCTACCCCACTATAGCCTACAGCAACTATGTCATATAAATCTGACACACCCCCATAGGCAAAGTGGGGGAGAACAAGGGGTCACAAGACCAGCCAAGCAAAGCAAAGCAAAACTCAAGGTGGATCACAAAGTCACCACACAGTCCGAGCACAAGGTAAAGGCCACAAGGCCACTAGACACATATATATATATAAGGCTAAACAAGCAAGAGCAGGTATATATATATATATATATATATATATATATATATATATATATATGCAAGAGTACAAGCAAGGTCAAGAGGTGAGCAAGTGAGGTAGGACAGGTACAAGTCCCAGCTGAGTGCAGAAGCGCTGATGGTCACAAGGCGCGAGTGCCTTGGTGAACACATCAGCAGTGTTGGCCTCAGAGGCCACGTACGCAAGCCGCAACCGTCCACGCTGCTGTAGCTCACGAGCAAGGAAGTAGCGAAGAGAAATGTGCTTCGTTCTGTGCTCCAGACGCTGCTCTCGACACAAGGCCAGCATAGCCTTGTTGTCTACGTACAGCACTGGAGGAGAACGAGGCGGCTCTCCAAGGTCAGGCAGCAGGTAGGTGAGCCAGCGAAGCTCCTGTGCAGCCATGGCCCCTGCGTAGATCTCAGCCTCACAACTGGAGCTGAGAACCGAAGACGAGCGAGTAGCCCGCCACGAGACAGAGCCGGAACCAAGACTGAAGGTGTAACCCTGTGACGACCGCTGAGTAGCCTGGTCGTTAGCCCAAGAAGCGTCCGCGTGTCCTGTAAGGACCACTGGACTCCGCCCTCCAAGCACTAGCCCCATGCCAGACGTACTGCACAGGTAGCGCAACACCCTCTTCGCTGCAGCCATGTGCTCTGGTCGGTGTCTCCCAGGAGCAACATAGCGTGCAAGTATGCTAAGAGGGTATGCAAGGTCAGGTCGTGTTCAGGTCATCAGGTACATGAGGCAGCCAACAAGCTCTGGGTACGGGCCACTCGACTCTACGGACTCATCCGAAGGCAGAGCTGAGAGTGAGTGGCGAGTAGGCAGAGGAGTGGCCTGAGGCGAGGAGTACGTGAAGCCGAAGCGCTGAAGGACCTGCTGCACCATGTGTGACTGAGTCAAGGTAATGGTGCGGCGTGCTCTGTCCCGAGTGATCTGCAAGCCAAGGTAGCTGCGCAGTTCACCCAGGTCTGTGCATGTGTGTCTCTTCAGCAGCTCGGACTTCACGAAGGCGACTCCAGCAGTGTCCGCTGTGGCAAAGACCAAGTCGTCGACGTACACGAGGATGTAGAACGGCGGCAGGGAGTGGAGCTCGTAGTCGCGCTGAGCGGCTATGTGCAGCAGCACCCGAAGAGTGGTCATCTTCGGGGTGGGAGAGAAGGTCTGAAAGTAGTCAACTCCCTGCCGCTGACTGAAGCCACGAGCGACGTACCGCGCCTTGAAGATAGGTGGAGAGCCCGGCGGCCGCTTCACCCTGAAGATCCACATGCCACTGACGATGTTCGCCCCAGGAGGGGGAACCGCGTCAACGTAGGTGCGTGTGGACTTCAAGGAAGCCATCTCTGCATCCATAGCTGCCTGCCACTGAGAGGAGTAGGGACCCTCTACGGCCTCCGCGTAAGAGCGCGGAGTCGGGATGTCTAGTGCATCCGGGTCTCCCTCAGGAGCAAGCAGTACAGACGCGAGATGAGGTGAAGCAGCAGCCAGACACTGTAACTCCTCCTGCCTGTCCTCTAGGACGTCCGTGCCAAGAGCACACTCACCTTCGACGGACGGAGGACAGACAGACGCAGACTCAGCAACAAGACTGGCAGCGTAGTCTAGACGACAGCGAGCAGCAAAGTCGACGAGCTCAGCGACAAGAGCAGACGCAGCAGCGGACTCAAAAGAGGGGTCAGTGACGACAGTAGCAAGCAGACGCGTGACAGTAGGACTGGCAGCACGAAGGGAGCCCGACTCTGGGTCGGCAAGCACAGGAAGGGAGGACTCTGGAGAAGCAGGCAAAGGGGCACGCAGAGGAGCACTGGACGGACGCAGAGACATCCAGTGAGTGCCAGGGACAGAAGGAGGACGCTGACGTGAACCGCGACCACTAGCGCGAGCAGCACGAACAGGCGACGCGGGACGAGACGCAGGCTCACGACGCTCAGCAAGACCCCCAGTAGGACCAGTGTAAGGAGAGAGAGCAGGCAGTGGAGAGGTAGGCTCCAACAGTGACTGCGACTGGACAGGCTGTGGACACTCTACGGGAGGAGAAAGACCAAGAACCTGCTGTAGGAGCGGAACGAAGTACGGCCGAGGCCGCGCGGCAACTCCAGACTCAGCAAGGACAGCACCAGCACCCTCAGCGGCAGCACCAGTACCACCAACACCTCCAGCGGCAGGACCTCCAGCAGCACCAGCAGCAGGACCACCGCCAGGACAGACAGCAGTAGTCTCAGCACCAACACCCTCAGAAGCTCCAGCTCCAGTAGGACCCGCAGGCCCAGCAGCTCCGGGACCGGCGGCACCAGCACCCTCGGTGGTCGAAGAAGCTCCAGCTCCGGCAGTACGCCTTCAGCGACGAGCAAACCACTCGCGCAGCTCCTGTGGAGAGAGGGGCTCCCGCCAAGACGGAGCACCAGGAGAAACCCCAGGCTCAGCAGCTCCAGGCGCAGGACCCCCAGACTCAGCACCTCCAGGCTCAGCAGCTCCAGACGTAGCAACCCCAGGCTCAGCAGCTCCAGACTCAGCACCCCCAGACTCAGCACCCCCTAGCTCAGCAGCTCCAGGTACAGCACCCCCCGGCTCAGCACCCCCAGGCTCAGCACCCTCAGTAGTAGCACCCCCAGGCTCAGCACCCCCAGTAGCAGCACCTCCAGGCTCAGCACCCCCAGGCTCAGCACCCCCGCGCACAACACCCCCAGAGTCAGCACCCCCAGGCTCAGCACCCGCAGCAGCACCAGAGTCACCAGTAACCTCGACCGGGTCAACGGCGTCTACCTGGGACACACCTGAGGGGGCAGGAACCTGAGGGGGGAGGGGGTCTACCGGGGGGGGAACCGGCACAAGGAAGTCCGGTGGCGGGGGGAGAGAAGGAGTGCGGTAGGGGAAGAGGCGGTAGAAGGGGACTGACTCGTCGAACGTGACGTCCTGGGAGGACAGAACACGACGAGAGGTGGGGTGGTAGAACTGCCACCCTGGAGCGTCAGGGGGGAAGCCAAGGAAAACACAGGGAGCAGCACGAGGGGACAGCTTGTCCGCAAACAAGTCGCGGACAAACGCCCGAGATCCCCAGACACGGAACGCAGACGCATCGCCGACCTTCCCCGTCCATAGCAAGACTGGGGAAATCGCGGGCTGAGAGACCCTGGGGTGAAGGTTGAGCTGATGCGCCGCGTACCGAACCGCAAACGGCCACAGAAAATGGGGGGCAGCCGCATGCATCATGGACGTACGAGCGACATCCATGACCATGCCAATGCGGCGCTCAGCAATCCCATTTTGCTGTGGAGAGTCCGGAAGCGTAAAGGTCTGGCGGATCCCCCGTGCACGACAGTAGTCTCGCAGGAGGCGAGAGGAGAACTCCCCACCTCGGTCAGAGTGCAGAAGCAGAACAGGAAAGTCCGAGCCGAAGCTCCCCCTGAGCTGGAGACGAGCCTCGCGGATCCAGCCGATCAGCACCGCAGTGACATCACCCTTGCTGCGCAAGGGGAAGACTGTGGTGTAACGCGAGTAGTCGTCAACCACCAACAGGAAGTAGCGCTCGTGACCCTGCCCACGGACGCGGGCCGGGCCCCACACGTCCATGTGAAGTGTCTGCAGAGAAGCCTCTGTCGGGGGAAACTGGGAGGAGTGAGGAGCAGCCCTGAGGCACCCCTCGACACAGGGGACACAGGAAGGTCCTGGTCCCGAAGGAAGGGGAGGGAGAGACCGGGGAAGACCTGAGACAAGGACACGGGAAGCCATGCCCCGAAGATGGGACAGGGAGGGGTGGCCAAGACGGTGGTGCCACAGGAGAGTCTCGTGAGACAGGAGGCGACACGAACAGGGGGCAGACTCAGGGCCAGACCGGGACGCAGCAGCAAACACCTCACCTTACGCAGCTACCTGACCAGACGCAGGGACAGGAGGAGACTCAGTGGTCAGGGTGTAGAGGCTCGACCCCGGCCGACGCGAGAACGTGGCCAGGTGCCGGCCTGTGCGTGCGTCCGTGCAGTGGGTCACCCGCTGACTCGCAGGAGTGAACTGGTGAACCCCCGCATCCTGTAGGTCCGCACCACTCACCAAGTTCGTCGAGAACGAGGGAAGGTACAGACCAGACAGGGTGCCCGAGGGGGCAGCCGGACACGGGAGGACAGTGGAAAAGTGAGAGAGGACAGGACCCCCAGAGGGGTCAGCCAGGGAGACCGCAACCGGCCGACCAAGCGGCGTGAGGGTGGTGCGGTCTCGAAAGAACGAGCGAGAAGCCCCTGAGTCAAGTGTGAAAGTGAGGGAGGACGAAGGCGACGCAGTACCTGAGAGCGCAGTCTCACCAGTACCTGAGAGCGCAGACGCACTGGCACCTAGAGCAACAGCCTCACAAGCACCTAGCGCAGCAGTACCAATGCCCGGGTCGGGCGGGAAACACCGGTAACAGTCACCCTCCTCACTAATAGTCACAGCATACATAGCAGCAAGGATAGCATCAAAGTCAAGATCAAAGATCGCTACACCAGCCCTAGAAAGCTCATCCCAGCGGGGAATCTCACTAGCCTCGGGGAACTGCTGACGCCAAGCGTCCGTCAGGCGGCCAAAGCAGCGCTGGGTGGGGTGGGCACCCCCACACTGCTCACCCGCGCGGTCGCCGGAACGAAGGACGTAGGTGCACGGACCAGCACCCCCACCCCTCTGACGCCGAGTGTACCACTCACGGAGCTGCTGGGGCGGAGGGATGTCCCGCGAACGCTGCTGCTGCTGCTGCTGCTGGCGCTAACCACTACCAGCGCCGCTCCGCTGCGGGGCACCACCCCGACCAGCTCCACCTCCTCCGCCAACACCTCCTCTTCCTCCGCCTCCACCGCCGCCACCACTCCCACCGCTGCCGCCACCACCGCCGCCTCCTCTGCCGCTGCCACCACCACCACCGCCTCCGCCACCACTCCTGCTGCCACCCCCACTCCCTCCGCAGCCTCCACCGCCACCTCCACCGCCCCCTCCAGCTCCACCCGCGCCCTTGCCCCCCTTGCCCTTGCCAGAGCGGCGTCTCCCACTAGGGGCAGACGCCGCGCCGACCGACTCAAGACCAAGCAGGTCGGCAGCAGCAGCAGAGGCAACAGAGGGCAGCAGGGGGGAAGGAGAGCACCCCTCAAAGATGGGGGTGCGAGGGTCACCACGAGAAGCTCCTACAGCAAGGATGCTCTTCTCCGCCGCTAGGAGGGCCTTCTCGAGGAGGTCGACAGTGAGGGTGGTGGGACAGACTGAGAGAAAGTGGTCCCTGACTACGCGAAGGGAGTCAGAGAGGCGTGCTACTACGTAGTAGAGAGTGATGTACATGGGGGGGGGGGGTTCTTGGCGCAGAACTCAGCAGGAAGGGCGGCGCGGTAGCGAGTGTCACTAGTGCGGAGGTGCGTAATGAGGTCAGCGACAGTGGGAAAGGCAGTGAGGTCAGGAAAGAGGTACGGTAGCATGAGACGGCTCAGTGCAGCAGTGGCAGGGGAAGAGTAGCGCGCAACTACAGCGTCGTACAGGGTCTGAGCACTCTTGTACTGACTAAAGTGCGCGCGCTCAGTGGTGGGCAAGTGGCGACGCACAGCAAGACGTGCAGCAGCATCGCGGGTGGCCCACTGAGAGCGAACAGTGGGGTCAGCATCAGCAGCAGGAGCAGGAGAGGCGCTAGAGGTGAGGTCAAAGAGAGAAAGACCGTCTGCCCTATCGCACTGCAAAAACAACTGCAGGTCGTCGACCCAGACCTCAAAGTCGATGGCTTTGCCCTCCGCGTCAAAAGCTAGGACACTGGGGGTAGCCATGACGACAGACTAGCAGTGCAAGCAGTGGGGAAAGGGCAAGCGGTAGCAGTGCTGTGCTCACCAGGCAGGGCAGGTCGGGCGACTCGACGGCTGCAGGACGGCACGGCCGCTGCGGGGCGGCTCGGCTGCGACTGGGCGGCTCGGCGGCTCCTGGGCGGCTCGGCTGCTGCTGGGCGGCTCGGCTGCTGCTGGGCGGCTCGGCTGCTGCTGCGCGGCTCGGCTGCTGCTGGGCGGCTCGGCTGCTGCTGGGCGGCTCGGCTCCCGGGCGGCTCGGGTGCAGGGTGGCTCGGGCGGGGCGGCTCGGCTGCTCCGGTACCGGGTGGCGGGGCCGTGAGAGCAGGGGCGACGGGGCCGTGAGTAGGGGCGGCGGTGTCGCGGTAGTAGGGGTGGCGGGGCCGTGAGTGCTGGGGCGGCGGGGCCACGAGATCAGGGGCGGCGGGGCCGAGAGCGCTGGGGCGGCGGGGCCGCGAGATCAGGGGCAGCGGGGCCGTGAGCGCTGGGGCAGCGAGGCCGCTAGAGAAGGGGCGGCGGGGCTGCGAGTGCTGGGGCGGCGGGGCCGCGAGATCAGGGGCGGCGAGGGCCGCGAGATCAGGGGCGGCGAGGGCCGCGAGAGAAGGGGCGGCGAGTGCCGCGAGATCAGGGCGGCGGGGCCGCTGAAGTAGGGGCGGCGGGGCCGCGAGAGAAGAGGCGGCGGGGCCGTGAAGGGGCGGCGGGGCCGCGACGGAGAGGCGGGGCCGCGACGGAGTGGCGGGTCCGCGAGGAAGAGGCGACGGGGCCACGACTGGGTGGCGGGGCCGCGACGGGGCGGCGGAGCCGCGACGTAGTGGCGGGGCCGCGACTGGACGGCGGGGCCGCGACTGGACGGCGGGGCCGCGACTGGACGGCGGGGCCGCGAAGGAGAGGCGGGGCCGCTAGGAAGGGCGACGGGGCCGCGTCTGAAGGGCGGTGGGGCCGCTAGAAGGGCAGCGGGGCCGCGAGGGAAAGGGCGACTCGGGGGGTCGCTAAAAAAAAAGGAGATCGCGCGCCTCGGGGCGCGCTTCGGTGGGCCCTAGGCGAAGTTCCCACAGGGAACCCGCTCTATACCATGTGAAAGTAATGAACAGGAATGAGTTGACTAAGGAAAGATTGGGGTACAAATACAACCCTAGAAACCTGTACCCCATATGTGCTACCCCACTATAGCCTACAGCAACTATGTCATATAAATCTGACATGCGAAATCTGCTTTTGGCCGGTTTTACGTCGACCATCTGGTCGACATTTCTTTCGCGAAAGTCGACGGATTGGTCGACTTCGTGTCGTCACATTTACAGCCACTATTTGCATGCAAATTTAACAGGTTTGAGGGCCGAATTTCAGGCCGGTTTCAAAAAGTTGTAAACTTTGCAGTTGCTACAGTAGGAACGTATGTGCGACGGGGTCGTACATTTGACGGCAAAAACTCTGATTGGACAGGATAAAAAAAAAAAAAAATCAATCGTTCTGCGAGATCGTGTGACGTCGTACGTGACAGTCGCTCACGGCGTAGACTACTTGGCCGAATTGGAGTCGACATGGTGTCGGATACCGTATTATCCCGGATAAAATACCCTAGGGTATTATGAAAACCACAGGGAAAAAATGGGGTGGGTCTCAAAGGAAAATCCTACATAGTACCCGGGTCTTATTATATGGTATATTTTTTATCAAGTAGAAAAGATGTGAAACAAAATCAGGGGCCTGACTCCACTTCAAGATTGTTGACAAGTGCCGCAAAACCGAATATACGAGGATAACGTGATCACCCACTGGAATCTGCCACGTGGCAAATCCGAGTGGGCTATTCTGACACTTGATAGGGTGAAAACAAAGCCAATTGCGTGGCGAGGGTTCATGCAACCGGCGAGGCCAGAATCGCGCACGGTGGTGCGTTCTTACTGTACCAGTCACTTCTTGACTGGTTTGGTCACGTGTCTGTGCCTCATGTGAGAAGGTGATTTTCACCTATTGGGCCACTTGCATCGGAAGATTCGCCAGCGTGGCGACAGCGAGATTGTGGGAGGGGGGAAATCTTAGCAGATTCTAAGTGAAAGTACACGCGAAATTTCACCTAGGGAGCAATTCTCGTGATATTTTCCCGTAAGGAATCGGACTCGATAACAGCCATAATATGAATCTATAAGAAAAGGGGGGTGTTATAGAAAATCACCCCAAAAGGGGAGGTATAGTACAAACGGGGTCGGATATAACACCCACCCCGTATTAGCTACCCGGAGGTGTACAATTACGGGGGGGTGTTTTATCCGGGAGAATACGGTATGAGTCGACTTTCAAAACGGCCATCAATTTCGTTTTTTATTGGCGAAATTCACGACGGTCGCGAGCGTCTTCGAAATTTTCTCAAACAGGTTACTTTCGCCAGTTCGGCCATTTGGCTAGTGGCCGAATTTTTAGGTGCGGCGATTTTACACGCCCTAAACTCCAAACTCACATCAATCAAGAACAGGCGAAATCCAGAGCACACACATATGCGGGAGATGAGAGCGGAGGTGGGCCGACGACATGGCAGAGCTGCGAGAAACAACGTTTTCTTGGACTTGAGCCTGAAAGAGGTTAAAAATAGGGAGTCCAAGAACGAGGGGGAAAGGCATCACCAACGGATAGAATGATATCGATGGGGAGAGAGAGAGGAACAACGGACAGCGAGGGAAGAGCGGAGGAGCCATGGGAAGAAAGGGGAGAGAGGAGGAACGACGGGAGAGGAGGGGAGAGGAGGCGAACGACGGGATGGGAGGGGAGAGGAGGCGAACGACGGGATGGGAGGGGAGAGGAGGTGAACGACGGGATGGGAGGGGAGAGGAGGCGAACGACGGGATGGGAGGGGAGAGGAGGAACGTGAGCGCGATGGCGAGGGGAGGGAGGAACGTGAACGCGATGCCGATGGGAGGGGAGGACGTAAGCGAGAGGAGATGAAGTGAACGACCGGATGGGAGGGGAGATTGCAAGGGCGACGGGATGGAGAGCGCGAAGGCGACGGGAGGGAGAGCGCTAAGGCGACGGGAGGGAAAGCGCGAAGGCGACGGGATGGAGAGCGCTAAGGCGACGGTAGAGAGAGCTCTAAGGCGACGGGCGGGAAAAGCGCGCAGGCGACGAGAGGGAGAGCGCTAAGTGGACGGGAGGGAGAGCGCGCAGGCGACGAGAGGGAGAGCGCGAAGGTGACGGGAAAAGTGAACGGAGGGGAGGGAGGAAGGCCGGTTATATTGGGGTAGCCCATGTGGGGTACAACCTAATATTAGGGTTAGTATTTGTACCCACAATTCATTCAATGCAAACATTCTTGCTTGCTATCTTGACATGATTTCAGTGCAGTAGGTCCGTAGGACTGTTTCTTTTTTTCAGGCACGACCGAAATGGAGACGAGAGGGAGAGCGCGAATGAATGATTGCATTGAATGAAATCATTCCTGCTATCGCGACCGAAACAGTAGGTCCGTAGGCACTACCCTACGTTGTGCTGCCCCGCGCACGCCCTGCCCTGCCCCGCGTCGCGCTGCCTAGCTCACGCCTTGTCCTGCCCTGCCTCGCGTCACCCTGCGCCAGCGCCCTGCCCTGCGCCAGCGCCCTGCCCTGCGCCAGCGCCCTACCATGCGCCGGCGCCCTGCCCTGCGCCAGCGCCCTGCCCTGCGCCTGCGCCCTGCCCTACGCCCGCGCTGCTGCCGTGCGCGTCGCGCCCTACAGCAGCCCGCGCGTCGCGCGCTGCTGCCCCGCGCGTCGCACCCTACGGCAGCCCACGTGTCGCGCGCTGCTGCCCCGCACGTCGCGCTCTACTGCAGCCCACGCGTCGCGCCCTGCTGCCCCGCGCGTCGCGCTCTGCTGCAGCCCGCGCGTCGCGACTTGCTGCAGCTCGCGCGTCGCGTCCTGTTGCCCTGCACAACGCGCGCCCTGCTGCCCGCGCCGCCCAGGACGAGCCGAGCCGCCCTACCCGACCCGATCCGTCCTGCTGCTCGTGCTACTGCTGCTGGTGGTGGAGGTGCTGCTAGGAGTGATGGATGCAGCCTAGCTTCACCGAGCCGCTCTGCTGCTCTTACTGCTGCTGCTACTCCTCGTGCTACTGCCTTCACTCCGTACTGCCCTAGAGGTCGCGCTCCTCCTTGCTTGCCCGCCATGACTTCACTCTGAAGTAGCGGTGGGAGTGGTGACGACGGTGGTGGCAGCAGTGGGAGTGGTGGCGGCCGTAGTAGCAGTCACTGTGGCGCTGTTTTGTGCGGAGTTTCTGGCGGTGGCCAGATGCAGCTACGGCGGCGTCCGACCCTTACATCACAGCAGCTTCGTGAGTGGCTTTACCAGCGTGGGACGTCTCCGAGTCCTGGTCGCTGCCCGTACGTCATTCGCACAGGTCGTCGAGATGGTCAGACTTGTGGGACACCTGGTCACGGACAGTCCCGCTGCTTCGCCTATTTGAGTGACGCCTGGCAGGCAGAGTTTGGCGACGAGGCTGAGATCCCCCACTGGCTTGAGCTGTTTAGGTCGGGCGTTGATGTCTTTGCTTTAGACTATGACGCCATCCTTACTGCTATGTATGCTTTGCCTGGTGGTGCTGAGGGTGACTGTTACCTGTGTGTGCACTACGACCCCGGTCAAGAGGTTGCTGCTCTAGGTGCTAGTGAGGCTGCTGCCCTAGGTGCTAGCGAGTCTGCTCTCTCAGGTACTACGCCTGCGGAGGCCTTGCACACCTTCACGCTTGACTCAGGTGCTTCCCCCTGTTTCTTTCGCGACAGTACCGCACTCACGCCACTCCATGCACTTGTTGCAATGTCTCTGGCTGACCCCTCAGGGGGCTCAGTTCTTGCACGGTCCTCCACTGTGCTTCCGTGCCCGGCGCTTCCGTCTGGCTCACTGTCAGGTCTTCACCTCCCCTCGTTCTCTGCGAACCTGGTGAGCAACGCAGTCCTCCAAGATGCATGGGTTGCTACCTTTACCCCTGGAGGACAGCGTGTGGCGATCTGTACGTGCTCCCGGACTGGCCGTCACCTGGCCACGTTCACCCATCGGCCAGGGTCGAGTCTTTACACACTGACTACTGCGTCCCCTCAGGTAGCTGCTACTGGTCAGGTGTCTACATCAGGTCAGGTAGCCTCCCCTTGTTTGTGTCACTCCCTGTCGCACCAGACTCTTCTCTGGCACCACCGCCTGGGTCACCCCTCCTTGCCACGTCTCCGTGGCATGCACCATCGCCTCCTAGTGTCTGGTCTTCCCAGGTCTCTCCCTCCCCTCCCTACCTCCCCTACGCGGCCCTGCCTTCCTTGTGTCGAGGGGCGGCAGCACGCCGCTCCTCACTCCTCCTCGTTTCCCCCGACAGAGGCTCCTCTTTAGACCCTCCACCAGGACGTGTGGGGCCCAGCCCGCGTTCGTGGACGGGGCAGTGAGCGGTACTGTCTGCTGGTTGTCGACAACTACTCGCGTTACACCACGGTCTTCCCCTCGCTCACCAAGGGTGAGGTCCATGCTATCCTGATCCCTTGGATCCGAGCAGTTCGTCTTCAGCTCCTGTCCTGTCCTGCGTCTACACTCTGATAGAGGTGGTGAGTTCATCTCCGACCTCTTGCGGGCCTTCTGTCAGGGGGAGGGCATCGAGCAGTCGTTCACGCTTCCGGGCTCACCGCAACAAAATGGGGTTGCTGAGCGCCGCATTGGCTTGGTCATGGAGATCGCGCGTACCTCCTTGATCCATGAGGCGGCTCCCCATTTTCTGTGGCCGTTTGCGGTTTGGTACGCCGCGCAACAGCTCAACCTCTGGCCCCGTGTCTCCTTGCCGGAGACCTCGCCCACACTGCGTTGGACGGGAGAGGTTGGCGATCCGTCGCGTTTCCGAGTCTGGGGTGCTCGTGCCATTGTCCGCGATACGTCCGCGGACAAGCTCTCCTCCCGCACCATTCCCTGTGTCTTCCTTGGCTTTGTCCCTGACACGCGTGGCTGGCAGTTTTACCACCCCACCTCGCGACGTGTCTTCCCCTCTCAGGACGTCACCTTTGACGAGTCAGTTCCTTTCTACCGTCTCTTCCCCTACCGCACTGCCCCCCTCCCTCCCCCGCTGCTTTTCCTCGTTCCAGGTCCCCCTCCGGTAGACCCCCTCCCCCCTCAGGGTTCTGCACCTTCAGGTGTGTTCAGGTAGACCCACTCCCCTTGGCTGAGCCTGTAAGGGTCACTAGCAAGTCAAGTGGCGCTGCAAGTGGTGCTGCTCGAGGTACTTTGTCTGGGGGTGCTGAGCCTGTGCGTGAGGTGCTTGTGGGTGTGGAGCCTGGGGGTGCTGAGCCTGCGAGTGCGGAGCTTGGGGGTGCTGAGCCAGAGGGTGCGGAGCCTGGGGGTGCTGAGCCAGAGGGTGCCGGGTCTGGGGGTGCTGAGCCAGAGGGTGTCGGGTCTGGAGGTGCTGAGTCTGGGGGTCTCTTTTCACGACGGGGGCCTCTCTCACCACAGCAGCTACAAGCGTGGCTTGCGTGGCGTACCCGCCTGAGGAGTCGTGCTGCTGGAGCTGGAGGTCCTGCTGCTGGAGGTACTGCAACTCGAGGTGTTGCGGTTGGAGCTGCTGGAGCTGCTCGTCGTGGAGGCGCTGGGAGTGCTGGTGTTTCTGGTCCTGAAGGTGCTCGTCCTGGAGGTACTCGAGCTGCCGGGGTCCGTGGTACTGGAGGCACTGAAGTTGGAGACCCGCGCGTTGGAGTTCGAGACCTTGGAGCTGGAGGTGCTGGCCCTCGAGGTGCTGGCCCCGAGGGTACGGAGTCTGTTGGTGCTGAGCCTAGGGGTGGTGCATCTACTGAAGGTCCTCTTGGTACCGCGTCGCAGCGATCACCTCTCTCGTCGAAGCAGCAGCGCGAGTGGCTTGCTTCGCGCACCCGCCTTCGGAGTCGCGCTACTGGAGCTAGAGGCACTGCTGTTGGAGGTGCCGGAGCTGGAGGCACTGGAGCTGGAGGCGCTGGAGCTGGAGACCCTGGAGCTGGAGGTGCCGTTTCTGGGTTTGCTGCTACTGGGGGCACTGGAGCTGGTGCTGTCGACCCTGGAGTTGGAGACCCTGGAGCTGGAGGTGCCGGTCCTTGGGGTGCTGCTGCTGGAGGCACTAGAGCTGGAGCCCCTGGAGCTGGTCCTTTCCACCATGGAGTAGGAGACCCTTGTCAGAATGTCGATGTTTGTCTAGCCTGCAGTGGGGTACTCTATAGCGAGTACAGCCCGAATTAGGGTTTGCTATATGTACTCAACTGCCTGCTAGTGAAAACCTCTCTTTCCTGTTTCTGATTCTTGCCTATAGTTTTGACATGCTATCAGAGTAGGTCGACCCTCCTGGGTCGATCCTGTAGATGGGCTCGCCACCTAATGCTTTCGCTGCTGTCCTACCTATCGCGCGCCCCGGGCGCACGACGAGTTCTGCTTGCCACGCGCTCGGGTGCTTCTACCCCGTCGATCCGCGCGTCGCCCCCCGTCGTCCGTTGCAGCGCTCCCGGGGACTCGCGCGTCGCCCTCCGTCGCCCGTAGCGGCCCGCGCGACCTGCGCTAGGCCCGTGCGCGGCCCGTATAGCCCGCGCGCAGCCCGTACGGCCTGCGCCAGGCCCGAGCGCGGCCCGTACGGCCTGCGCCAGGCCCGCGCGCGGCTCGTATGAGCTGCGCCAGGCCCGCGCGCGGCCTGTACAGCCAGCGCGCGGCCTTTACGGGCTGCGTCAGGCCCGGGCGCGGCTCAGGCAGCCCGCGCGCGGTTTTTTCGGCCTGCGCCAGGCCCGTGAGCGGCCCGTACCGTCTGCCCCAGTGCCGCACGCCGTCCCCCGAGCTTCTGACCGCACTCTTGTGTTAGGGTTTGGGAGTGGAGAGTATGGGGGTGCCGTGCGTGTGAGCAGTCCCCTGCTCCTCCTCCTCCTTCGTCTCCCACTGCTGCAGCTGCCGCTGAGGGGGGTGGATGTGTTGGAGCCGTCGGAGTGGTACGAGGGGGGTGGCGTGTGAGCGGTGCTAGTGGTTCAGCAGGGGGTGTGTGAAAGGGGTGTGGGACAGTTGGGGGAGGTTGATCGGAGGTAGCCGACTTGTCGTCTGCAGCGCCTGAAGTCCAGAGAGCCAGGACCCCCTGTGGCCGTGTAGTCCGGGGCTCTGCGCCCGGTAGCCACAGTGTGAGCACTCCTGAGAGCACAATGAGCCAGCTGCGCCTGTCGCCGTGTTAGCCTGGTAGGGTCAGCGCTGCCCACTCCTGTTGCACGTGTGTCTGCAGCTTCAGCTGTCGCCTCGCATCTTCTCGCCCTCCATAGTTTCTCCTCCTCCTCACTTGCCCTCTGTGATAGCCTCTAGCTTTGCTTATCCTTGAGAACTATTGCACTCCCTAACTTGTTGTGTTGATTATACCCCACTTTGACTATGGGGGTGTGTCAGAATGTCGATGTTTGTCTAGCCTACAGTGGGGTACTCTATAGCGAGTACAGCCTGAATTAGGGTTTGCTATATGTACTCAACTGCCTGCTAGTGAAAGCCTCTCTTTCCTATTTCTGATTCTTGCCTATAGTTTTGACAACCCTGGAGCTGGAGGTGCTGGTTTTGAGGGTGCAATTGTTGGAGGCCTTGGAGCTGGAGGTTCTGGAGCAGCTGGAGGCGCTGGAGCTGCTGGTGCTCATCCTAGAGGTGC